CATCCAATGAAGCATTGCCGGAAGTCTGTTGATGATCAGAGGCTGTTGTTGGGGGGTTGCATAAACGTTTTTTAATTTTTGTTTTGTAGGCAGACCATGCAGGCCAGCCCGATGGTCACCAAGGTTCATGTTTTAATAGCATTTTTACAAAAAAAGCCCAGGCGAGCCTAACATGTGAAAAAATGGCTTAGACCTCAGAGAGTTCAACTTGGGCCTGCGACCATAGTTTTACTGTATTTTGTTTTGAAAATCCACAGCGGAGGTTTGTGTCGTACTACATGCGGTGTGTTTTGTATATCTCTCAGTAGCCAACGATCTGTGAGTCTGTTGGCTCGGATATAAACTCCGTAATAAATGTAGTCTACATTTGATAAGAGGTGTAAAACCTGAGAGCATTTTAAATCGCATTTGAACTAAATGCTTATATAATCTGTAGTTGTATTTGTATTGTTGATTTATTGTGTGAACGAGGCGATGTAGGGAAGGTTAAGCTGTCATTAGGCTGTTATGTACTGTTGGAGTGGTAAACAGGCCTATTGTTTTTGGATATTTGTGGAGTTAGGTGGTCCGTGAGTGTATTTTATTGGTTAAGTGGTCCTTGGTATGAAAAAGTTTGAGAAACACTGCGCTAGTGGATTATCAACGAGGGGAGCCTTGCTGCGGGGAAATTATACAGATGGCCAGTCCGCCCCTGAAAAATGTCTATGCACACGTTATTATTATTAATAATAATAAATAATTGATACAAAAATTGATAATTTAAAAAAAACAATTTTTTTTTTTTTTTTAATCATCTCGCGACCCCCACTTTGGGAACCCCTGGCTTAGACGACACATTGCCATGCGAAACAGGATGTTGTTCCTTTTTAGCCTCATATTAGCTTTTTACTTACTGGTCTTTCCATTTACACTTCAAAAATCATAAAGTGTTGTTAATATATAGAGATTATCCATCTGTGCGTTTGCCACATAGCTTATTTTCTGCAATATTCCGAAGCCCAATTGAAAAAATCCCATTGCTTTTCTGTTTGGCATGGACTTGGTGGAGTTGTGATCTCTTCTCATTTAACACGGCCACACAATTTAAAGTGATATGTCATACTGATTTTTAAATTAAGATCACTATGTAAACTACACTCGGATTTATCCAAATGTGTTCAGTATTCAGATGCAGGGTTAAGACTGCAGAGCTGTTGACTCCGACTCTTTGGATTCTCGACAGATTTACACTTCGTGAAGTCCATGCGACTCCGCCTCCTCGCCTGAGAGGCCAGATCATGCAGTTTGAGTTTCTATGCAGGCTATACCATGATTCTTCCTGACAGCTGAAGCGTCAACCCCTGACACTGACGGGAATTTATGGTCCGGTTCAGGATGCACAGTAGCCCCGGGGAGAGAATACACGACCAGGGCACAGCAGGGACAGAACTCCAATCATCTCAGAGAAATGCTCTTCATATCAACTCAGTGATTATAGTATTAAGTCAGGCATAATGTTGAGATAAATTGTATTTAGAAGTCATCTTGGAGGATTGTTCATTTATCATTGGTTGTCATTTTTTATTTGCACCATGACAAATTGTTGGCATGAAAATAAGAAAGCGGCAGTGACAGGGAATGCAGCATTAGTTTTTTTATTTGACTTTGCTTTGATGTGAGGCAAAATCAATTTTACCTGACAGAACGCATTGAATTTCCAACATCTCCCACACGAGAGAACTTAATGGTCCTCATTTATACACATACTTAGACACTCACTCTTCTCTATCGTACATAGGCTGATGATTTCAGCTGCATGGCAAGCTCAGAAACAGCAAGCCAATAATACAAGTTTTTTTTTTTGCACACATGGCTTCCCATAGAGAAGATACTTCCCTTCTATGAAAAAACTAAAAAACACTTCAGAGATTCTCTCAGTATTTGATGAATACACATATCTTGAACATTTAACAAAAGTCAATCCTGCATTTTTACAAGGTGTCTGTGTTCTGGGAATTAAATTAACATTGATATTCAGAAGGAATACCAGCATATTTATTTATTGTAATCAGGGTTCAAATGTTAACATTATCTGACATTTTCATGTGAGGTCATCTGCTGGTCTTTTGAAATCAGCTTACACAAATCAACCAAGCAGTGTGTGAAAGCTACAATTTTGCAGCTCTGAACACTGAAAAAACGTAAATGTCATGAACAGAAATTCCGAGACAGAATTACTATGGGCTTGTGTTTGACTCAGCAGGAAACACACAGGAGTAATCAATGACAATATTTATGCACCTATGGACTGGGGGGTATAAAATGCAGGATTTACCAGTGCTCGTGTACGACAGCTCACACTTTGCTACGCTTTTAGACCAAACATAACCATACAATTGTTACTGATGCATTGCTGAAAGCTGATATTCTAGGAGAGCATAACACAAACAACAGTGAATGTTCAGTATTATTTTCATAAGACTTTTAAACTACAACTCAGTAGTTTTGAAATCTTAATTTCTGTGCATGTTGGCCCCTGAAATGACAAGTCAAAAATTATTGTGGAGATATATATTTAGCTATCAGTTTGGTTGAAAAGAACCTCAGTGATGGAAATAAAGCTTTGTCACAGCAAGCATTGTGACCAGGTGCAGCTAATGAGGCTAATTAGCGCTCTGCTCAATTGAAGTGTCTCTATGCCATAGCAGCCAGTCAGCATGCTCTCACATGGCTTCATCTGAATGGGATGCTGCAATCGTTAGACATATTACTAACACCTGGAATTGACACACTTCCCACTTTAAAACAGATCAATATAACTGAGGTGTGTTCATGCTGGTTGGGAGTTAACTGTTAGCCAGAGGGAAAGAAATAAAGAGTATGGACATTGTTTGCGCTTTTTTAGCTGATCATAACCACAAATAAAAAATAACCCATAAAAGAATCAGAATATTTAAAAATGACGTGACTCAGATGTTGTAAAGAACCCTAAAATCCTTATGTCTTTGTTAGCCTCTTTCCTAGCTTGATAATGACGCTATAGAAACAAGGATTATTTGCTATATGTGTTTGTACGTTTTTATTTAAGTCAAGTAGAAGACATAAATAAGTCAACCGTGGACTTTTGGTTTTGCACGAGACACAAACAGCCTCTTTGCACTATATACGTTAACACACTTCTTCAGCACTTGCTCTAAGAGTCTTCTGTTTCTGTCAAATAACACATGAAACCAAAAGTGTAACACGCAAAATGACTCAAGAAATTGTTTCATTCGCCATTTTGTCAGATCAAGCTGTAAAGCTATAGGACTCATTATATAACTGTTAGTGATTAGGGCTTTGCAGCCTTTATGACACCATTGGATATTGAAGTAATTATGATTCATATGATACCTGTTAATGGAAAGTACAAGCAGTAGGCTGATATTAATAGTATGACTTGGAGATACCATGTTGACTGGTTATAGTATTTCAGACAAGCTGTCAGAGGATGAAAAACCCATGTGACTCCACAACAACGTAACAGAAGCCGGGGGTGAGGAGGGGGGAAGGGACGGGGTAAAAGTAAAACCCCAGTAGAACTGCAGTCACACAAAAATAGGAATCTCTCACATTCCCTCCTGTGAAGTTTCCAATTGTAGATCTTTCAGGTTGAGGCAAAAAGGCCCCAGGCTATACATCACCTCCTCTCAGACTTGTATCTCTTTTATCAATCTGAGATGAATGAGCCACGTTTCTATTTATAACATCTTATGCATGCGCTTCACAAAGCTGTTTTGACACTGCACATTCCAGTCTATTTATATTTGAGTTTTCTACACGTTACTATCGGACATACCATTCCCACCGGCTAAAACAGGCACAAAATGACTGAAATGTGTATAGGTTTTTACGGCTTCTGTTTGTAAATGATGTTTTACTCACAGAAGGCATGACTTTTACCTTAATTAAGATTTTGGGCTTTGCGATTACAACAAATTACAGTTCCATACACTGAAATTGCATTCTAAATAACACTTATTTTATCCCAGATGAAGTTAGTTTTGGACCCATCACAAATAATTTTTTAATGGCCTCCAAAAAAAATATAGGGGAAGAGGCCGGGCCGGAATGTATGTTTGTTTGTGAACACAAAAGAGGACTCTACCAAGAGAGGCAAACAATGATCGTTTTCAATGTTTTAACACTGCTTTTCCTCCAAACGTTATTGAGAATGGAGTTTAGTTGTGTTGGGAAGCGATTTTATAGGAGAGGAGTTGATTCTTGACACATCCAGTTATCTTTATCTGTATGTCGTTTGGTGCTGAGCAGGAAGTGTACGGCCTGGTTTTCAAGGGCTGCCGGCTGATAAGATTAGTTGCACTGAATCATAACCGTTAAACCAAAACATTGGACTAAAGAGGCTAAAACACAGGCTGACAGGTGGTTAATACATTTGGCTGGTGCACATCCTCCTCCTGCAGCATAAGTTGATTAATTTAGCTCTTAATCAACAGAAATTCTGGAAATGAGCCTCAAGGCATCTGAAAGTGAATTTATTTAGAACTTATTGGCAGTTGTAAGTTCTTTCTATTTAGTCAGTCTGCTAAAAGCTGCACTTGTTTTTATAAATCCCACTTTTATATTTAGCATATAGGAAATAAGTGCCACCAATAACCACATGGCTATTAGCATATTCCTTATCTGTGGAACAAAAGTAATATGTCTTTCGTTTTCTCAATGACAGCGCAGGGAAATATCTCTGCAGCCATTTTGTCTGGATCTAGATATTTGAAGCACCTGTCATGAAACCTGAGGTGATATTTCAATAGCTCCTGGCGGCCTTAATGTATATGCATTTCCTGCACAAAGTCACTTGGTTGTAAAGAGCCATTGAAAAAAAAAAACAGCTTGATGCAGTGTGACAGCCAAACTGTTGGGTAGAGTTTCACATTCTATATATAAGCCTGGTGACTTGTGTCCCGGCTGCTCTGTTTAAATGCCAGAGTCCCACTGTCAAAACAGAGAGAGGGCAGCAACAATATGATGGACCTTTTTGAGACCAACCCTTATCTTTTCAATGATTTGCGCTACTTGGAAGAAGGGGATCATGGACCACTACAGCACCTGGACATATCCGGGGTTTCTCCACTTTACAACGGCAATGACAGCCCGCTGTCCCCGGGCCAGGATAATGTTCCGTCCGAGACCGGGGGGGAGAGCAGCGAGGAAGAGCACGTCCTCGCGCCCCCGGGTCTCCGGGCGCACTGCGACGGTCAGTGCCTCATGTGGGCCTGTAAGGTCTGCAAGAGGAAGTCCGCGCCGCCCGACCGACGCAAGGCCGCCACTCTGAGGGAGAGGAGGAGGCTGAAGAAGATCAACGAGGCCTTCGACGTGCTGAAGAGGAAGACCGTGCCAAACCCCAACCAGAGGCTACCCAAGGTGGAGATTTTACGCAGCGCCATAAGCTACATCGAGAGGCTACAGGACCTGCTGCAGACCCTGGACGAGCAGGAGAAACCCCAAAACGGATCATCCCACAACTTCAAAGAACACAGTGTAAGATTTCACTCTGAAATCCTCACAGTATTAACATGGTATTCCTATGAGTGAGCTTGTCGTTTTCAGATGACTTTTAAATGACAACTTAATGATGTGCTTATTGTATCTGTAACAGCCCTATAATATTCCTCAATGACATGATGATGCGTTTACTGCATGTTAATATCTGAGTGACACCATATTCTTATCCATGTATATTATATTAAGTAAGGAGGTCCCTGGTGTTAAATTTGGCCACTTCATTTCTTTTTCTGGTAAGATTTTCCCTATGATCTTCCAATGATATTCATCTCTTTCTCATTTTTTTTTTTTTTTATCTTGGTTTTTGACTGTAATAAAATATAAGGCCAGTTTCTGGGGTGTTTTTCAGTCAGGCAAATGCCTATTTGAGGAAATACTTATGTACTTACTACTTATTTTAAGTATGATGTTTAATATAGGAAAAGCGCTATATAAATGTAATGTATTATTATTAATATAACCCTATCAAAAACCTGCATGAATAACATGTGTGATTTTGCAGATGGAAAACCATGATGGTCGTTGGAAAAAGTCCTCAGATTCGTGGCCGACCTCTGCCGATCATTCCACTGTCCCAATGATAAACCAGAGAGAAGGTACATATCATTTTCACTTACAATAAACTGTTAATAAATAAATTAAAGCAGTGTAAGTCAATGTCCTTTTTATTTTCAGGATCCAGCGAGTCTTCTGCCTCCTCCAGCCTCCTGCGTCTGTCCTCCATTGTGAACAGCATCACCAACGGAGACAAAGTCAACTTCAGCGAGAACGTCTCTGAAAACTGACATCAGCAAAGACCTCGACTAGACACCACATTTTAGGTTTCCATTATTTATCCCTAAATTATTTCCACTATATTTAGCCATTCTGTTTGTTGTGTAGTCCTCATTTGTACATAAGGAGCAACAAATGTGTACATATTTTATTATAATGTGATGTTTAGATTTATTTATTTTATATTCAGAAGCAGATACACTCTTGTACGAAAGCTATTGTATTTAAATATTTGTACATAACTGACCAATACAATAAATTAAACGTTTTGCAATACTTTAAAACAACTGTATCTCATTCTTTAAGAGCAGAAATGCCACAATGGGGAAGAAAGAACTCAAAGTAGGAGAATAGTCTTGATACATTCAAGTAAATGGGAGCCATATCCTTTTGATTTTAAGATTTTTTTGTTCAAAAGTAGTTTTTTTTCCCAAATTTGTGGTAACATGGGGGAGTTATACATTTTGGGGGAATAATTCCTTATGCTTTTAACCATTGAATGTCCAAAATCACAATCATAACGACGATAATCACGTTTCAAGTTTTTCCCTTGGCAAAAATGGTGTTGAAACCTCTTTTTACGAATAATAGGTCACTCTACCCCTCACTGTATCTCTGTTTTACACCAAAAGAGAAAGTAAAGCCCATTACCAGTTCAAGGTCTTCCAGTTCCCCCAGCATTCACGGCTATTAAAAGTCCATAAAATCTGCTTAAACTACCCTGCAATATTTTGCTGCCGGGCTGGCTCTCTTTGTTCAGACTGGCCTCCGGCAGCACTGATCCCACAACAGTAACTCGAGTCCCCTCCAAACACAGCGTGCCTCTGCTCTGCTATCAAATGTTGGTACATGGAAATCTGGGCAGCAGGCTCAATGCAAAGCCTGCTGGGATAAAGAAGTTATTTGAGCCTTTGGGTCTTAATTCATCATCACTTGCTTCGTCATCACATGGCAAAGCGTTTACATGCGAGCTATTAAATTGCGTGACACAAAGCTAACGGCATGGGAATCCATTGAGTCTTGTTTGTCGTGTATTGACATGAGAGGCGGGCGTTTGTTGATGATGTCGGGGTGTGCTGGTCTCCCTCAGATCTCTGTGGACGACACAAAGCCCCGGTTGACCTTTGGGACGCTGCCTCATCTCTCAGGCCTGCAAACACACATGTGTCCATGTAAAGTGTCACACATGTGTCGTGTTTATCAGACTTCAATGAAAAATCCAACAAGGAGAAATGAAGGCTATTTCAAAGAACGGGGGGAGAGTTCAAACCATACTTAAATGTGAAGGTCATCCCCTTTTCTGTGTTTTTTCTTTGTTTTTAAAAGTGTTGATTGACTGGTTAAGGATGCCAACATGCTGCACAGAACGCACAGCTGGGAAATGTCTCAAATACACTGTGACACTTGCATGTTTCTTGAGACACGAGATGTGTTTCGACACAGATTATAAGGTTACCTTTACACATTTATTTTATAATTTGAAAATGTATACGTTCCATTTAAAATGTTTTTCCTATTTTTTATTTTAAATGTACCTTATGTTTTGTTTTGTTTCCCTTTTCGAGAGTTATACACTTCTCTTATCCAAGAATCACAAAAAATGATCAGAAAATAAAACAACAATTTAGGGCCATTGTGCACAATTATCTACTTTTCCATTTTTCTTATTCGTGTTGGTACCTTTTTCAAGTAAATAATATAAATGCTTGTTCTACAGAGCTCATTAAAAGCTGAAAAACATACAGTAATCCTTATGTCTCTTTTCAACACTTCTACTCATATCTTTTACCAAACATCCTATAGAGCGACACATAATACCCCTAAATAGTAATGTGATTTTAATGGGCTCCTGCCCACTCACTCAATCTGATAGCAGTATTACTGCACTGCATTTTACTGCTCCATAGGTATCTGCTAATTCAATATCCGTTTATACAGTTGACCTCGACTGTAGACCTAACATCAACAATAAGAAGTGTTTGGTTCAGTGCGTCTACTTTTTACTGCAAAGTACGCTACTTGTGTACGACTTATTGGATACAAACAAGCTTTTTGTGCTATTGAAAATATGTTTTGAACCCTCAGCCTCCACTCCATAGCTCCCTCTCCGAATCCCAACGTTCTCTCGTCTAACTTTACAGGCATTTCGGTGTTACTGATGACACCATATAATTGTCATTTGGCTGTGAAGGCTGTGTTTTAAAAGTCAAAGCTGATGAAAGGCGAGCAGTTATAGGACAGGGGGATAAGCCTTGAGGCTGAAAACTCTGATTTATCCAGGCTTTTCCTTGAATATCCTGCAGGAAAGGATTCCCTGCAGCAGAGCTGGCAGCACGCTTTCTGCTCTCTGCCAAACAAATGCTGTTGCCACTCAAAAAGGTCTTTTGTTTCACTTATTATTGTGGGGAACGGAAAATTGACTTTTTATGGGTGGGGAAATAGCATTAACAACCACTGAGCTACGACAAATGTTTTTTCATTAAACATTTATTAACATAACTGAGTTTCCTTGTAAGACTCAGAGTAAATATATTAGTTTTACCATGCAGACAACATCTTAAAACTAATTTCAGCAGCAGTAAAATAAACAATTCAATGTGGGCTTTAATGTCACTAGGAGGATTTATTTTTGCAGGAATCCAAGTAATAAATTGCCTTTCTTTCAGGGGGCTACTGTTGCACCAAACAAACAGCATATTACGTCAAAGCATGAGGCCGTTTAGAAGAAATAAGGGTTTCAGACGTGAGGGGAATAGACATAAAGGATCACCTCCTGCCCTTCACTTAACTCTGTCTCTGACCCCTGACAACAACAAAAAAGCAAACTCAGATAGTTCCCAAGAGACCAGCAGTGCGCACAGATCCCAGCACCGGCGATCACTGCGCCAATAACTGCCATGTGCTGCGCCAATCTAACCACAGCCTCAACTATCTATCGTCTGATGGCGGGTTTTCTCATCGTCCACGTTGTTCTCAGCCTCAGGGGCTTTGATCTTCTCAGCAGCTACACGCCGATGTCTTCTTCAGCTGTGGCTAATCCAAACTCCGACGGCAATTCAGAGGCAGCAGCAGGTACTGGTGTTTTCTTAGGTGCGCGCAGTTCCCAGAGAAGGGGGATCGCCAAACGTTTTGACACATTGTGAGAAATATCCGCATTGTATCCTTGTAAGCTGTCAACAATATCATTACCTAAAGCAGTCTGCTCGTCAGGGTCGAGCTGCAAAAAGAAAAACCCCTTCAGTCTGACAATCTGTTCTCTGAGACAGTCATTCTGAAAATAGAGATTTCATTTAACTTCACTCCAGAGTCATTATTTAATAGAATCACATGTCAAAAGTGAGTGAGTCTGAATCTCAACTGATATGAGAGGTTTAACTCTTTACTGCTCTCAAAATGAAACCCAGCTTCTTTTATATGTCATCTGTTTCAGAGCTGTGAAAGCTTATGAATCTCACGTTTAAGTGGAAATTAGCATTTACACATAACGTTCTAAATATATAGTACTCTTCTATGGGTTTAAATTACCAATATTTTAAACATCTTTTTACAAATGTGAAGAAAAGTATTTAATAAAAGCCTAAAACATGCCAAAATGCTTTCAATTGCACTGCAGTTAAATATCCAATCATGGTTATTTAAATTCTGTCAAAAAGGGAACAAATTACCGTCATGCTGAAATCTCTGCACTATAAAAAAACATTCCATTCCTTATTAAACCCTCTGTCCTTTACTTGAATAAAACTCTTGCACCATAATGGCCATCTGTTGTTCCGAACTGAAGCTCCTGAATTGTGTCAATAACTTTTAATGGCTGAAATTTGGTCCTCTGAGGCGAAATGGTGCAGGGAATTGGGCAGTGGTGTCGATTGTGTAATTACTGTTTTTAATGAGCTTTGGCAAACAGGGATCGCCTCATTCACACAGCACCTCCAGTGATGAGCTGGGGTGTTTAGAGGGGGCTTACCACTGTAATGTGAATTCACAGGGCTTGAAATGTTACACCTTCCTTTGCAGCTGGGCTGCATCTGCAACGCTGTTGTCTCCACCGTAAAAATTGGCCCTGCATACTCCTACAAGTGCTCACCCTCTTTCTCTGCACAGTTTGACCAAACAAAACACGCTCTTTAAAATGTACGTCTTCATAGCTAAGTGTCACTTTCACCGTCAGCCTTGATGTGAGGCATGGAGGACGGTTATGGATAAATCAAGCGAAAATGAAGCTCTTCACTTAAAGACCATGTGGTGCTTAAAGCTCCTGAAACATTCCCGAGCATTGTGTTCATCGTGGCCTTGCTGGGCCGGTGGAAGGGGAGAGTGGTGATGAGTAGGAAAACACCATTAAGTGCAGATGTGGGAAACTCTGCAGGGTACTGGGGGGTGCAGGCAGTGGGCTGGGGATGGGGCAGGGAGGGAGCTGAGCTAACCCCAGCCTGCCTTCTGGCTGGGCCATGGTAATTAGATCTGGCCAATGTGGGCCCTTGGCTGTGGCCTGGGGGCATATAAGGGGGGCCCAGGGCAACAGACCCCTCATATCACTCAGAGGTCTCCTCTCTCTCACCCCACTCCTCTACCCTCCTTTCTGCGGTCATCTTCATCCACTCGCACTCCTTTCTTCATCCAGTATGGACGTCTTCTCACCATCCCAGGTCTTCTACGACGAAGCTTCCTCTCCAGACAGCCTGGAGTTTGGCCCCGGCATGGAGCTGGACGGCTCTGAGGAGGATGAGCATGTGAGGATCCCCGGGGCCCCTCACCAGCCGGGGCACTGCCTGCAGTGGGCCTGCAAGGCCTGCAAGCGCAAGTCCAACTTTGTGGACCGCAGACGAGCCGCCACCATGCGAGAGCGCCGGCGGCTGAAGAAGGTCAACCACGCTTTTGAGGCTTTGAGGCGCTGCACCTCGGCCAACCCCAGCCAGCGCCTGCCCAAGGTGGAGATCCTGCGCAACGCCATCCACTACATCGAGAGCCTGCAGGAGCTGCTACACGAGCAGGTGGAAAACTACTACGGCCTACCTGGGGGGAGCAGCTCGGAGCCCGGGAGCCCGCTGTCCAGCTGCTCTGACGGCATGGTAAGAACCACATGTTCAGCCTCTTCTTACAAACATCTGGAAGTGCAGAGTCTCAGCTTTGAAACCAATACAATGTCAGGCAGGGAAATAAATATCCACAACTGCATGCAAGACAGAACTTTATCTTGTAGAAACTTCACCTGACAAGCTTGTTATTGATGGCCAAAGAGTCTTACGTTTAAGCCATGTTGCCATTTTTCATTACCATGTAGAGTATTTCATTTCCAAAAAAGGCCTGGATTTCCAATTCAGAATCCTATTATCAAACAAGCTTGTTTTGCCCCAAGACCTCAATTACCATGCTTCTTCATGCATGTCATACTCCCCTATAGTTCATTAATACAAAAAGCTGCAGTCTTACAAGCTATCTCTACTTGTTATTAAAGGTCAGGTTTAATTAGTTGTTCTTTCCGACAGTCTGAAGGTGACAGCGTATCAGTTAATACAAAATAACTTATCAAGCTGGATGGAGTAATGGCTTTCCCACCACCGGACACTTTATAGCCCTAATAAACCGAGCTAAATCCACCTTACTGAAGTCTGGCAGAAAAAACCTGGGCGCTTTTCTGCATTCCATCCTGACTGCATGTTCTGCACCGCTGCCAGGATTTTCTGCAGATTTACTAGGAGAAAGTGTCATCTTGCACAAACTGGTGTTGCTTCCACTGATACAATCGATTCGGCACGCTCGGAGCCGCTCAGGGGAAGGAGTCATACTGCCACTTCGGCTTTAAGGTGGAAGTGAAATAAAGAAGCCCATAACTTTGGAATTCAGGATTTATTAGCCTGTCTAGAATATTGTGAAGGGCATTGGTTGTCTTTGCACATTTTCCCACTTCTTTCTTTTCCATATATACTCCCTATATATATTTAAGAAAACATAACACATCATTTCTTTTTGCAACAATAACTCAAAGGTATATTTCTCGTTTCCTTACAGGCTGACAGCAACAGTCCACTGTGGCAGCATCTGAATGCAAACTACAGCAACAGCTATTCGTATGCAAAGCACGGTAAGACCTTTTGACTCGCACAGCCTCCTGAAATGAATACGACATGACATCTTGAAAGCATCGTGCTTTAAAAACCTGATTCCTGAATGCTAGATTATTACTATTATTTTTTACTTATTTATTTGTTAGTTTTCAATTCAGTTTCAGCCTCATTATACATGTTCACACTTTGGTCTGTGTTTCCTTTTCATTCCAATGCTGCTGTATAAGACATACAAAGAAAGGAAAACATACAAAGAAAATGTAAATAAATAAATGAGTGAAAATACAATTACAATATATAAAAATAAATAAGGAAAGGGAAGATGGTAGATTATTTAGAATGCATGTTTTACTTTGCGTAAAGCACCAGGGTTTAAGTATACTATAAAATACACAAAAATTGATAGAACTTATAAATCAAAAACATGTTTTGGGTTTGTTTTTTAAAACTTGTGTCCTCTGTTTTCCTCTTAACAGATAGTTTAGGCGATAAATCAGCCGGGGCCTCCAGTCTGGCGTGTCTCTCCAGCATCGTGGACCGCCTGTCCTCGGTGGGGTCCGGCTGTGGCCCCGCGGCGCAGAGAGACGGGCAGAGAGACGGGCAGAGAGACGTGCAGAGAGACGTGCAGAGAGACGGGCAGAGAGACGTTCAGAGAGACGTTCAGAGAGACGTTCAGAGAGACGTTCAGAGAGACGTGCAGAGAGACCTGCAGAGAGACGTCTCCTCCACCTTCTCTCCGGGCAGCTCCGACTCGCAGCCCTGCACGCCGGAGAGCCCCGGGTCCAGGCCCGTGTACCACGTCCTGTGAAGAAAACTCTGACATGGATATATTGCCACAGGCTTCCCCCAAACACTAGCTGCATTTGAAACAATAGATAAGAACTTTTGTTCTGTGCAAATCTGAAGGAGACTCAGCTGAACCTGAAGACCTGCGGCAAGCAGCTTTTATTTGTACATGAGATTGTAAATATGTATTGTAAATGCCCATTTAATCTATACATGCTATTATACCCAGTGACACATATTTAATTATGACAGTTAATGTAATGTTGTATTATTCCAACATGAAGTGGTATTTAAGCAATTTTAATGTCTTTCTTTCCATGTTGTCGTGAACATTAAATTTGTCTACTGTTTTGTATAAACCTTTGTGCGATTTGTATTTCTTTGTAACAATGATCAGAATCAGAATCAGAAACAGGTTTATTGCCAGGTAGGTTCACACATACGAGGAATTTGACTTGATGTCATGGTGCATACATAAAATATAAAACAGGAAATCTAATATAAAACAAAAAATCTTTAAGGACACCGTAATAAAATATAGTTAAATAGCAATAAAATAAAGCAGTAATTTACATGGAAATAGAATGCTATGAATGAATTATAGGATATGAAATATGAAACAAGAAATATGTGCAGTAAGCAGTATGAACATTGTGTGCATTAATGTAATGCATATAGAGACTAAGGAGTGAGGAAATATGGTCACTTATGCTTTAATGCATGTGAAGACACCATAAGCATTAAAAACCCAATCATTAACACCCACAACTGGTGACTACCACTGTGGAGTAGATTGTTTTTTAATGAAATTACATATTGGAAACACATCATCTAATAATTATAGAAGTTTCCATCATTATTGCACTAATTACTAATAGTATAGTGGGCCAAAACAGTTTAAATATGCATTATCTGCTTTCAAAACAATAGCTTAATTATTCATTAGCAGATTCTAGAGCCAAAAACGGTCTCTTTTATTATAAAATGTCAAGTTCTCCATCATGTGACGGGTCCAGTTCACAAGGTGTGGAGATCACAAAGTAACTGATAGAAGTTATACTATGAATCCTTGGACACATTTGCGTATGATGAGTACAGCAGTCCAAAAGGGTATTTTATATATATTTGTATTTAAATGTTGAACCACAGCAAGGATTTAAACAAAACATACAAACAATGTATGAACAAAATGCAGTTTCAAAGTGTAAAACACACTTGTCTTCTTCACATTTTACCATCTCTCTGTACTTTTTACTGCTGGGAGTGTGTTTAGGGGGAGGAAACACTTTGTGTACCTGTTTGTTCTTTCCTTCCAAATGCAAGTCATCATTAACACCTTAGATTATACCATCAACACCAGAGTCAGGAACAAATGGCCTCTAATTGTAGTTGAGGGGGAGGGTGTGTGATACTGCCTCATGACTTTGACCATGCCCTAAGTCAGCATTGTTATATTTTTTAATACAGCCTGTGAAATGCAATATAGTTGTTCAAACATTCCTCAGAAAACCAATATTTGTTGCACTTGTTTTTATTAAATTCTGTACTCCCTTAATCAAATTTCCTCTTTTATAATGTCTTCCTGCTTGCTCCAATGTGCTCTGTCTTTTTTATTAGCGTTCTCCTCCGGTTTACAGGCACTGTGTAAATTATATATATAGAATAATTATGATGATGAATGCATTTTTTTACCACTAAAATACAGCAACACATCTTTGATTCATGTCGTTTATAACTGGAATATTACAGTTATTATTAACTTTGTCTGTACAAAGTAGCCTGTCCAGGAAATATGCCCAAATCAACAAAAACTGCGAGCCGGCAGGCAAGACGCTCCGCTTCTGAAATGCTTCTGAAACGCGCCTGGTAGGGTATGACGCCGGAGGAGGCCGGACCAAAACTGCGGCGCAGCCGTAACGCGGCGCAGACGGACCCGGTGGAATTTAGGTGTAAAACTACACTGCCCAGCCAAAAGCAAGTAACCACTTTGATTTAACTAGGCCAGTAGGTAAGGACTTTCCACTGGATAATAACTTACTGCAGCGATGTATATGTTTTAGTTGAATACACGTTTTTTTAACCCTAACTGATGCAGTTAGTCACTTCTTTAATGTTTGTTCTTTCTGATGTAAAGTCAAGGTTGTAAATGTTTGCAGTAAAGTTGTGGGGCGCTGAACTGTTCCTTTGAATCTTTTGAATTTTGATACATGATATAATTACTTGTCTTTCAAATTTGAAGGAGGGTGAGCAAGCATCTTGAGGAACATTCAACATTCAGCTTTACTGATGTGCCACAATAATGTCCCCTAATGTTATTCAGTTAAAATATTAATATTGTGGCTTTCCAAGTTAACATTGATTGATATGACTGCGATTAAATCAGCATATAGTTCTGCCAGGGGATGCCACCCCTCAACATTTCCTGCCACCCTCTTGCCACCCCATGAATATTTTTCTAGATCCGCCCCTGGCGGAGAGGAGTTCAGAGTAAAGCTCTGCTCAGAGTCTCTGTGCTTCAGTTCTGTGAAACATTGTGAACATTCCTTCAGCAGCTTGTATTTCAGCCTACATCACGGCTGCGTACGACCCTCCAAATGTCACTGATGTCATTTTCCATGGCTACAACTCTGGTTGTGATTCATGAATCGCTCACTCACTAAGCCTAGAGTGTCACCAGAAAAACAAAGCACGAGTTTCCATGAAGGTCAAACATGGAATCAGGAAGAATGTAATATACAGAAAGACATTTTTTTTCAGATTTTCATTATTTAATAAGCTGGATTTGTATCTTGAGTCAGAATGGACACAAATTAATACACTGACTTTTGGACAGCATGACTCAAAAGGCAGCACAGTCATGCCTGTAGTACTCAGTAAGACCACAAGGGGGAAGTGTTTTCTGTATTTCATACAATAACACATATTTAAACTCTGTGATCAAATGTAATGTAATCAATACAACGAAGTACAGATTTAAAGCATGAGGTAACTATAGTCTCTAAAAGATAACTCTTGACTGTATTTATTAATTCATCTCCTCATATTTGAAGGGAATGTTAATCTCATAATGAATGTTTAACTGGGCTCTTTAGAGAATTGAATCTGCCCTCTGGCAAAATCTGTGATGTTGTTCATCTGAGTAAAGACATGCAAAGATAGAAAAGGAGATGTTATAATGTAGTAAAACTTCTGAAGTGTTACCACCCAAAATCTCTATTGAATCTCATATATTGATGATTTTACGGCTTTGAGTGTTGATTCATTTGGCTTAAGGCATTTTGAGCGTTTAACCCATACAGGTGGGAAAAGGAATTTGTTTTGCTTCTTGACATCCTGTGTGAACTTAGCCAACGTGTTAGAGTGCAGGAAGGTCAAAGGTCAGTAAACAGCATGACTGTTGTGGAAATAACATTACAACATACATTTGACTTTGGGACCGTCCTATCATTCCCAATAGTGAGGTAGAACTGTTGAAATGCCAATATTTGGTTTTGCAAATTAATCTTCATCCTCCCATTGTGTTCAAGTACATTTTTTTCCCTTTTTAACCACAAGCCCTCTAGTTTGATTAAATATGCCATATTTTATTTTCCTAGATTGATTAGCCTTAAAAGAAAAAAAATCCACATTTTCTTTCTCAAGGAATACTTATGGGCAATAAATTCCTGCATTTGTCCATATTTTAACCATGTAGATATTTTGTTTCCAACCTTTTGAGGAGTTTAAATAGTGTTGTCATGTCAAGAGCCAAGAAGAAATTATTAAAGTGTAGTCTGAGAAGAATGGCTGGCTGTTAGTGCCTTGGAAAAGTTGGAAGTGTTAACAACACACAATTTCTCTGCGATATTTCCGAGCATGCAAGTGTATTTTAAGCATTACAAAGAAGATCAAGAAGGCGGGTCAAAACTATGTTCACACCATTTATATCTTTGAAAGTCATACTTACTGCACAGATGCAGCCGATGATATGAATATGTCTTATCATTTGTGGTTTAACTCCAGTATCTCTGAACAGAACCTTTCCTTATGATAAGAAATAAGAATTGAAGTTGTGGTAATGTGATCCTGAGAAGGTGTTACATTCAGCCTCTTTACTGCAGATTAACAGCCATGGTCTCTAGTGAGGGATTTGTCACCTGCATTTAAGTCTTTATTTGTGTCACTTCAGGCTTTGGTCACTTGCTGTAGAATTGTTTGCTTGAGAAAAGCTCTAATAGTGATTTTATTGCACATAACACTGTGTACCGACACTTTGCCAGGGAAGAAACAGCTCTTCTTTGTGCTTCTACTGTCACTGTTTGACTTCAATACCTCCCATTTACAAGAGTCTCTTTATTAGTTTCACTGTCTACTCTTTGTAGTGAGCTAACAAAAGGCCATTGACTTTCTGTTCCAGGGCTACAAACCTGGAGGAGTCTTCAGAGGGACATGTCAGAGCCCCAAGTTTAACCACTTCACCTACAGTATAGCAGCGGCACTTAGATCACTAGAAAGCAATCACAGACAAGCATTTGGTTGTGGTCACTCACCACAAATAAACACCCCAAATAAACACCCCAACAATTATTTTGACAAATTAGTAACTTAATAATGCTTCATGCTTCTACATTTATGCCAAAAATATGGGGCTTGGAGTTCAGATGTCTGGCAATTAAAGACAGGAGAGTGAGGTTTTATGGGAAGATTGCAGTCTTTTTTCCAAATTTGACGACTATTATGCTATTAGAACATGAAACTAAAATTGCAAGCAAGTATGCCGAATATTAACAGTAGTAATTTTAAGCAGTTTAATGCAAAATCAAAGTAACTAAATACTACTGTATGTAATTGCAATTGCACCTGCACATAGACATGCACATATTTTATTCATAATTATCCTCACTTATATGTATTTATGTAAATTACTCAGTGATTCCCCGTATCTTATGTTGGTATTTTTGTTCATACTACTTTTTTAAAAATTCGTATTATCCCTACGTGAACTCTTATCTGTACTATCCCAGGTTTCACTCTTACTTGCTGCTACGACACCTGTATTTCCCTACAGGGATTAATAAAGGTTTATCGCATTTTATCTAACTTAAAGGTGGGGTAGGTAATTTTGGAGAAACCAGCTCGAGATCGCTAGAATTTGAAAATACACAGCCGGAAGAAATCTGCTACTTCCTCACAGAGCCCCTCCTCCAACACACACGAACGCGCACATGACCAATGAGGGCACGAGATAAGTTTGTGCACAGATGGAAGGCTGACAGGCAGGTAGGCCATCCAGTTATTTTAGCCGGAACAGCTAAAATGATTGGTCGTGCTTTTTACAGTATTACGGCTTCCACAGATGACATTTTTTTATGGATTTTTTGTCAAAGCACTTAAGATATTCATTGCTATCGGGATGTTAAGAGCATTCCATGGAATATAACAAAAAGTGTATCTCGAGCCGGTTTCTCAAACGTACCTACCTACGTGACATGAATAAAGGCTCGACGAAGAATTCACTGTACACAAGCACATAGATTTATTTATACAAATATAGTATGTATAACAATTGCATATTAACAGTTGGTTGTCTTTTTTTTATCTTTACGTACAGTACAGGACCATCAGCTTCAAAAATGTAAGTCAATTAAGAAAGAGTACCAGTGATCTAAGATAGAAAAAGGAGTCTGTTGTATTAAGATGTTAATAGTGAGTGAATGTCCTATAAAACCTGAACCCAGAGGTAACCTATTACAATAACGTTGGCATTAGGTGACCTTAGTGTTGACAGGTTGTATAGGATATATCAATGTGGCAGATATTATGCATGTAGAATGGTTTTGCTCTGCTGGAATTGTGCAATTAGATAAATTATAGAAAATATTAAAGATGAAAATAGTCACTTTCTCTCAATAACAATCAGCTAAATGTTCAACAAATGCAAATTCATGGCAGCTTTTTCATCCACTGTTCTCATCATACAGCATGGGGAATATCATCTGGAATACAGGAAGTTATGAGTTTTAGATTTTGTTTAAGGTTAATAGAGGAAGAAACATTGGTTAGAGTCTGCATGGTTGAACAAACAAAGAAATCGGCCACCTACAGAACATTAAGAAAAAAACATCAAAAACAAGACGTGTAAGAAACAACAAAGGAGTGCAAACAAATACACAAAAGCACCCACATGGAGAAAGCAAACACAAACGTGGCAGACTACAAATTGAATTCTAGTTTTGAAAACAGATTTACCTTACAGATACGGAGGAACACAGAAAGGGAAACATTCTACTCTGTCTTCTCAAAAATTATTGTCAGAACAGAAACGCATGGAGCAGATCTACATGTGCTAATGTTGAGCTGATATACAAGGAATAGACTTTAAATAATATTCTGCACGTCTCAGAAAAAATACATAATGTTTAAAAGGAACAATAAACCTTTATGTTAAATCTGTGATATTATAATATTTAAAAGGAGCAATACATCTCTGATCTCATAAACTATAAAATAGACAGGTCTGAACAATTATTTTGATTTAATTCCCACAAATGAAAACGGGTGACATTCTGTTTTTCTGTCGGGAACAGGACACGGTTAACATTTCTAAGGATTGATTTGAACCTCATATATTTTATAGATGAATCTGAGTTGGGTGTAGCTTACAAAGTCTGTTAATAATCGCAGTTATTGCACATTAATTATTCATGCCACCTGTAAATCAATAATCTCTTTAAATGGCACAGAGGATATATTTGGACACAGAAGCTGCCTTACAGTTCATAAGACCCAGTTGGCTTTACAACGACTTACATGTGCGCCTATCCCATAAACTCTGTATATATGCGTGTATCCGATTGTGAATTTAGTGGTGAAATGTAAAAACAGAATAATGTGTGTTATTGCTAAACCTACAAGATAGAAAATCGTTCCTGCTACAATATAGAAGGTAAAAAAGAGTTCACGTTTATCCAAAACAGGACAAGTTTGACACAAAGAAAGAAACCGATGGTCATTCAAACAGAGACACGAGCACCAGTTGAAGAATCAATAGAAACACCACTGTACAAATAATATCTATTGCAAAATGGCAAAAGGTGCCACGGTGTAATGGATGTCGGTAAGCAATCAAAAGTGGATGACTGTAAACAAAACAACAAACACAAGAAAAGGGAGTTTCAGTAAGACTCACCACCAGGGAGAACAACTTATAAAAGGGAGTACAAAGTTAACTTTCAGTGCTAGCCTCCCTCATACTTGTTTTTCAAAGCACCAATTTCAGGACAAAGGGCTCTCTTTGTTTTTTGCTCAGTAACCGGTGGTACACTGGAAGGGAGGAGGAAGTCAAAGACTCTTCTACGTGTTGGTTTCCTCCACGACGGAGAGATTCCTTTGGGATCCTCAACGCAAACAGATGGTCTTTGAAGGCCACCTTTTACGCTCTCCTTCACTTCTTCTTCTGGAACAACCTGCAGATCAGTCCAAAAGAGAAACAAGCTGAGAGCTCTTGAGACTTAAGGGTTATTAAGTTAATTCTGTACTGCCTAAGGACTTTAGGAGAAGACATCATTTTAGCTTTTAATTATTGGTTGATTGTCAAACCAGCTTCAAAGCTTCCCTTCCTACAACTCCCTTGCTTTAAACATAACAACTGTATTTTCCCTTAATTCAAAGACAGAGTATAGAGATGACAGGAGGTGACAGACATTTATTTTTAGGGTACATCTGATGTACACTCCAATATGTTTTTTATGGGAGAACATTTTTCCAGGTACAATTCAACTCTTTCCTTTGTGAGGGAACCTTGTCTTTTTCAATATGAAGTATTGAATTCCATGTATTTAATCATCTGTATGTGTGCTTGTGCCTGTAGCTTTACTTCCTCTTTTCTGTTATTGATTAGCTTTATTTATGGGATGTAAATATATTTTAAACGAGTGTAAAGTGAAGATCTTTTATGCCAAGGTTTGATAAGTTTTCATGAAAAATCTGGTGATTAGAAGAGAGGTTTTTTGAGGTGTGTGTGTCAGGCCTGCTGTGTTTCTTCCTATGTTAGAGGGGAGACACAATGTTGCCCACTGGGGCATTTAGTGAGTCTGTTCATTGTGTTACACAGCCACACGGAGCATTTATGCAAGAGAGACCTTGTGAGTGCGTTGTTTTGCTGCAATTATAGGGAGGGTATGCTGGTGGCTTGCAATAAATTGCTGAAAGACATCCATGTGAATCACAATACTATAACTTATAGGAGTACGAGTATTGCACTAATTTCACTATTTCACTTTTTTTAAAACTATTTTTCTTTTTGTATTTACTATTTACTTGCACTATATTTGTCTGTTTATCTGTTTTATTGTGTTGCACTGTTGGAGTGAGCCTGTGACCTAAGATTTTCATCGTCATAACTACACTGTAGCTAGGTTCGTATGACAAATAAAAAACCTTGAAACCTTGAAACCTTGTTATACACTCTACACAGGCTCTAAATTAAAATTGGGTGATACATTTTCTAGGGTCTTATCATCTCTCTCTGTGTGTGGTGGACACAAAGCCACACTCAGAGACACAGTGACAAAGACAGATGAATACCAGGCGAACCGGCGGCTTATGTTGCATTCTTGTTCGCTTGTGCGTGTCACTTGGTCAGCAGCCTCTTGGCCGCCAAAGCAAATCTCTGCGGTCAGCATTGCCGCCGTTGATAAAAACATGATCCCTGCTCGGTTCCCTGCCTGTACCTCCAACATAACACACAGTTACAAGCTCCCAAATACCTTCCCAAGCTGTGCCGTGCCAAGTGCAAGACAAGAGATATGCTTAGGGGGATTTGGCATCAAACGGACTGTAACACAGAGTTCTTGGACACATGCCCGCCTCAAATACATCAGGGAAACGTATAATTCGAGAAGCCTGGGCAGAATTAGGGGTAGCATGATTTGATTTGGCTTAATGGTGTGATTGGTGTGTTAAAAGTCTCTCCTTGCTTTTTAGTTGTGCTATTTTCACACAACGAGACTTCACTTTGACTGGCAGTTCAAAGCATTGTTCTAAATTTGGACTGTAAAAATGTTGTTTCAAGAAGAGGTATGCCTCCATCAGGCTGTAGAAGCAGCATTGCAGGCCGTATCTACTTATCCGTGTACCTGCAGAGCATGAGCCACAGATGTAATCGGTTCAAGCTTGAATCATTTACAGCCTTTACAACAGAAACACTGGCAAAACACAGCAGAGGCAGTAAAGTTAGCACAAAGCATGCCAGCTGCTGAGTTTGCAAAATATACCACTGCGGTTTTGGGCCTCGCACCAGGCCTGGAAAAATGTATTACTTCTGAGACTTTCCACAACACTCGTGAAAAAAGTGTAAGGTACATTTTTTGAGGAATGAAGTAAATAAATCTAAAACAATGGGTTATAAAAAGTATGATTTCAGGGGAGATATATTATATATATATTCTATTCTGCACTATTTCTACTATATTCTATTTTATTTTACTTACTTGCACTATTTTCTCTGTGTGATTGTGTTGCACTGTTGGAGGAGCCTGTGACCTAAGATTTTCATCGTCATAACTACACTGTAGCTATGTACAAATTACAATAAAAGCCTTGAATATTGAATTATATTTATATATGCTAATGTGTCTGCCTGTAGGACTTTCCGACAGGAAAAGTCTGGGGCACCTTGAAACTGAAACAGCCACAAGACTCGCCACAAGACTAGCAACAAACTCAAAATCTCACTGAGCACACTTTTGTTTTTGAATGGATTTAAAGGGATTTCCTTGCTGTAACTATTTCATGGCAAAACCCACCTTTCTATTTGAACAGAGCTATCCCGTTTCCTCTGCTTCCAGTCTTTATGCTAGGCTAAGCTAACCACCTGTTGACTTTAGCTTCATAATTAGCATTCCCTCCCTGGCATGTCATCTAATTCTCAACATTTTACAGAATATGTCCCTACCTTTTAAAACATGTGTCAGGCTATTACTTCCCATAGTCCTTGTCCTTACCTTGTGTTTCTGGTGTCTCCCCCCCCCCTCCCCTCACCCTTAAAGCAATGAAGCGCCTCACCTACGACATGTGGTTCTGCTGCGAGGCCACGTTCTGTTGCTGCTGCTGCTGCATGAGGATCTGCTGCTGCTGGCGTCGCCGGGCTGTACGGAGCTTCTCAAAGCGGGCCTCCATCTCCTCCAGCACTTTGGGGGTGTAGCGGACCACCAGCTTCACACTGTCCTTGGCCGCCTTCAGCAACTCCACCGCTTTCTCGTGGTGCTCGCCCTCCACACTCTACAGGGGGTTTATAGAAGGGGGGATTTGAGAGGCAGCCAATTTCAATATAGTCTTGGAAATAGTAATCTGACAAAACATTTCCTCACTTGTTACCTCCTTGCAAACTCAAGCTTACAGTACAAGCTGTTTTATTCAAGTTTTTCTAGCAGGTTTTTGCTCAACATTGGAAGCACTTTGATCTCAAAAGCTCTCCTGACTCTTAACCTGCATATAGGACTGGAAATGAATCATTGCAACATTTTGCGAGAAGTTTCAAAAAAGTATTTTAGTTTAGGATGTATCTTTTCGGCAGCTAGCTTACATTACCAGTCAAAAGTTTGGACACACTTTCTCATTCAATGTTTTGTGTTTATTTTAATTTGTTTCTACTTTGTAGATTAATACTGAAGACATCAAAACTATGAAAGAACACATATGGAATTATCTAGTAAACAAAAAAGTGTTAAAAAATCCAGAATATGATTTTTATTTTATATTCTTCAAAGTAGCCCCCTTTTGCCTTGATGACAGCTTTGCACACTCTTGGCTTCTCTCAGTCAGCTTCATGAGTATGTAGAAACTAATCAAAATAAATAAAAACCTTGTGGTTTTTGTGGTGTGTCCAAACTTCTGTAAATTATAAAAAAGAACAGGAACGCACTCTCCCTCAAATCAATACATTGAGCCTCTCTTCCCATCAGAGCGTTCACCTACCACTCCATTGACGGAGAGGAGCTGATCCCCTCGCTTTAGCCCGCCGTGCCTCTCAGCCACTCCTCCGGGGATGATCCTGGAGATGTAGATGGGTGAGTTCTGCTCTTTGCCACCCATCACGTTGAAGCCCAGCCCTTCCTCCGTCTTCGGTAGCTCCACCACCCGCGGGTGGGAATGACCTTCACTGGCTGCGAAGGCTGCGACTGTTGCCTGAAGGAAGAGAAGCAAGATGGGACTTGTTGTTACTGCCAATTATCCAAAAACCAAGAAAAATACCTGTACTTATATATTTATTTGGAGACATTATATAGTGTAATCTGTAATTTCATTAGTAGAGCTTGTTGGGAAGTAAAGAAAAAAGACAATGAACATCCTAATGGTGTCTTTATTACACTCAGAATGCGTGCTAAGGAGGACACCTATTCAAAACTACCAGAAATTGATGGTGAAGGTGGGTTTGTGAACCTCTGCTGCACCTTCTCAATTCACTGAGGAAGGCTATAACAAAGCATTAGGATTGATTCAGGGCTGGGGGTTTAGTCTCCGCATGAGAAGTTTTCTGGCTTTCTAAGCGCACGGATTAACACATCCAAGTTCACAATGGAGGAGCTGCCAGACGACTTTCTCCCTCTGTCTCCCCACCAGCTGGTGTGTGTCGCTCGCCGGCTGAGGGGATTCTTTGAACCCTGAGCTCCATGCTCCTTGTTTGCTCTGAGCAAAGCAGCCAGGAGCTTGTTAACCGAGTCTGGGAAAGCTAATGGCAGACGAACAGAGAAGAAGACGCCCCCTGCCCACTGATCCAGATGCATTGCCACAGGGGCCTAGCTGTCAAGTCGGCATCATCTATGATTTGTGAGGTAGATCAAAAAAAGGAGGATAAAAAAAGTGAAAGGGAGTCAGAATCTTTGGCAGATGTGTATCCAAATTTCCCAGCAGCAGGCAAGTATCTTTAAGGTCTTTGACGTTGCCTTCAGGCAGCACTTCCACTTCTTCCATATTCAAATCCACATTCATTTGTGCTCCAACTGTTTTGCCCATTTATTTCTCCTCTCCTGCTTCCAGTTTTAATCTGCTTGTTGTACTCCACAAACTTCCTCTCTCCCTCCATTCTCTCTGTCCTTCTTCTTCTTCTCTTCCTCTGCTCCTCCCTCTGTCGCATTGTGAAGCTAAAAGGAAGCTCCTCAACATGAATACCGCCACTTCGCACATCGACCTTCACCGATTTATCTGGGTTTCTGCGAGTGAAAAAAACAATCTCGCAGACGGCCGGCGCCTCTCAAACTCAGACAGCATTTCAAATGAAAGGCTTGCTAGGCGAGACGTTCTTGCCAACGCTGTAAAGACACTTGATCATCGGCTCTCATCGTTTTCTCTGAAGCCCATACAGCCCCGATAGTCCGCAAGACAGTAGTCTGCATTAAGATCAGTAATAAGATCATTGAGCCAGGAAATAGAGGCCAAATAGATTAAATTAATCAAGCAATCAAAGAGAACCGAGTTGTTCAGGTGAAACAAAAATCTAAACTTTCTGGAGATGTATCGTCTCTAACTAAACTCCAGACAGAGGAGCAGAAGTGTCAGCATATTTCACACATTTCATCATTATTGCAGAGACACTTTGTTGTTTCAGTACCATTGCTACCATCTTTTTATCATTTCAGACTATATGTTTGATATTGATTGACTGCAATTGGCACTCTAGCCTTCCTAATCAATAACTCTCTCTCACAAGAAAGTCAAACACATTTCAAGTGCTCTTGAGTGTCTGCACAGCTAAGCCAGCTCAGCTCATTAGCTGTGTGTTTTAATGCCTGGTTGATATGACATTTTAATACAGATTTAAGAGCAGGAACTCAGAGTTTGGGGCAAAGAAGAGGAAAGTAGGAGGGAGTTTTAAAGCCGCTTAAATCCTGACTTCATGATTGCTTCCGGCTCAGAAAAAAACCAGACAGAAAGTTGTTGTGTTTTCTCTCTACCATATTGTCTTTGTAGGGTGAAATAACGCCGGGTTACGTATTGTAACCCTTGTTATATTAACACAGGCGGAGCCCTCTACTGGACTCTATGGGTACTACCTTATCATGCAAGCATTCACCTACTGAGATTTCTATAGACGTAGCCGGCCCCGGGGCGGGCCTACCTGAATGCGTGCGCATCTCACTTCCCTATAAAAGGAGGCCTCGCCTCCTGACCACCATCCTACACCACTCTTCAGCGAGCAGTATAGGACAAACAGTGCCCCCAAGGTAGAGGGCTCCGCCTGTGTTAATATAACAAGGGTTACAATACGTAACCCGGCGTTATATCTCTCACAGGCTCCGCCCTCTACTGGACTCTATGGGTACAGTGGGCGGAGCCCCGATGTATGCACGCACTGTCGTCCAGCACACCGTTCCACCTCACTGTCCCTGACCGGCTTTAGCAGCCACTGCGCCTCACTCACCTCTCCCTCGGTTGTAACCGTGGAGAAGTCTCGCAAAAAAGTGTGCTCAAAAATAGTGCTGAGGACTCCCGTGCATCTGCCCATAGGCAGACAGGGAAAGTCCGCAGCCCTGTATGGGTTCACTATGCACTCTCCCTCCTGAGTCCCTAAAGAGCACGGGGAGAACGCAAGTGCCCCCTATGTCCCCCCACTCCGCCACTGACCCTGTGCAGAGTGTGTAGGGACTATAGTATGGAGGGCTCTCCCCCTCCTGCCCCCAGGCAGGCGAGGGGAGCCCTTCAGCCCTGTAAGGGCCCAGAGCGCATTACATCACCCCGCGACCCACCAGGGGTCCGGAGAAATGTAAGCGCATTTACGCCCGGGGAGGGGGTCAGATGCCCACTGACCCACAGCCCCCCCCCTCCTCACCAGTCCTGTGTTGCCACAGCAAGCACAGACGTTGAGAAAGAGCCAGACATATCCAAGAGATAAAACTTTATGAAGGGGCCTGGTGTTGACCAAGACGCCGCCGTGCATATATCCTCCACACTCACACCGCTGAATAAGGCTGTTGATGCAGCCATAGCTCGTGTGGAGTGCGCACGGACCCCCATGGGACAGGCTCTCCCTGCCTGCTTGTAGGCGTGTGCAATGGCTTCGCAAAGCCAGCCTGCCAGGCGTTTCTTGGACAGAGCTTTTCCAGTCACCCCGCCCCCGAAGCACACAAACAGCTGTTCAGTGCGTCTCAGGGTAGCTGTGTGCTCTACATAATATGCTAACGCGCGCACCGGGCAGAGGAGGTGTAATTTAGCTTCCCTAGCCCCACCATGGGGTGGAAGACTAAAACCCCCCAACTGAATAGCCCTCGACCTGAACGCACTCCTTAGGCTCTTGGGCACAAAGGAGGGGTTCGGTCTGAGTGTCGCCCCACTCTGGTCACCCCGAATCAGTAAACAGCTCGGGTGCACCGACAGAGCGGTTAACTCGGACACTCTTTTGGCTGACGTTAAGGCAAGTAGCCACGCTGTCTTCCACGACAGTGCTTTCAGGGAGGAGAGCTCAAGAGGCTCAAAAGGCTCCGTGACCAGAGCCTCGAGCACCAGCGGCAGGTCCCACTGTGGGGCGGAGGCGTGCACCACCGGGCGCAGCCTCCTGACCCCCTGTAAAAACCGCAACATCAGTGGATGAGAGAAGGCTGACCTGCCGTTGAATCCCTCATGACAGGACGAGATGGCTGCTGCATACACTTTCACTGTGGAATGAGCAAGCCCTCTGTCCACCAGTAACTGTAAGAAGGATAAAATAGAGCCCAACTCACAAGATAGGGGCTCTATTCCCCGCGACTCACACCAATGCTGGAATCTCAGCCACTTTGGCCTGTAACAGGCTGTGGTGGATTCTGCTCTAGCTGCCTGGATAGACTGAATAACGCTGTCAGACAATCCACCCTGTCTCAGCCTGTCCCTCTCAGGAGCCAAGCCTGAAGAGGACGGCCCAGAGTGGGTAACGCCCCGATTGCACCTGCCTCTTGAGACATCGCCCCCCAGAACTGGGGGATCGCCCAGGGCTGGCCCACCTTCATCTGTGTCATCTCTGAGTACCACGGAGCCCCGACGCAATCCGGTGCCACCAGAATGACTGCCAGACGTTCTCGCCTCACTCTCCCCAGGAGAGGGAGAATGAGACGCAGCGGTGGAAAGGCGTATAGCAGCTTCCTTGGCCATGGCTCGTGTGCAAACGCGTCCACCCCCAAAGGCGGGTCGTCGCTCAGGGCCATGGAGAACCACAGGGCACAGTGGCTGTTGTGCCGGCTGGCGAACAGGTCCACTTCCGCTCTCCCGAACTGGGCCCAGATCTGTTTCACCACCTCCGGGTGAAGCGTCCATTCGCCTGGCAGGGGGCCGCCCCTCGCCATGAGGTCGGCCCCCCTGTTCTCCAGTCCCGGGATATGGAGGGCTCTCAGAGATAACACCACCTCTGAAGCCCATAACCACAGCCTCTCCGCTGTGGCCAACAAGGGGGCGGAGCGGACTCCGCCCTGCCTGTTGATATAAGCCACTGTGGTGCTGTTGTTGCTCCTGACCAATACATGTCTCCCTTGAATTAGGGGCATGAAATGCCGGAGGACTAACACTACTGCCCGTAGCTCTAGGAGGTTGCTGTGTCGAGACTCCGTAGAGCCCAGCGCCCACCTATAGCCCTCTTCAGGCAGGTCCCTCCCCATCCTGTTCTGGATGTCCGTGAACACTGTGATGTAGGAGGTCACCCGTCCCAGTGGAGACCCCCTCCGGAGGTGATCCGGGGACCCCCAAAACCGGAGGTTGCCCTCCACTGAGGGGGGGATGGTCACCAGCCGCCGTTTGTGCCTCTTGGGATCCAAACGCAGGCTGGAGAACCACCTCTGCAGGCGGCGCATATGTAGTAACCCCAGCGGGACCACAATGTGAGCAGCCGCCATGAGACCCAGAGTCTGCATGACAGTTAAAGCTGTCACTGTCGCCCCCTGTGCACCGCCCGGAGAAGGGACGCACGTCTGCTCTCTGACAGGGTGGCGCGTAGCGCGTCTGCATCGAGCACCACTCCCAAATACAATGCCTGTTGGTGAGGTATGGGGGTGCTCTTTTTCCAATTGATCGCGAAGCCTAATTTGGTTAGGTGTGTGATCAACTGTGCTGTGCAAAACATTGCCTGTTCCCGGGACCCAGCCATGACTATGAGGTCGTCTAGGTAAAATAAAACTCTCATGCCGTGGGCGCGCAGCGGTTGAGGCGCTGTGGCCACACATTTG